TCTGTATTTCGGAGCCTTATGGCCCTCAAAGCAGCCCACCAGACCTGTCAGGCAAACTACTTCATTTGTATGTTTCGGGTTTAGGGTTTAGGGATTAGAGTGGAATGATGCCGTTTCAACCTCCCACGAGCCCTGAAAGAGAAATCAGGAGACCTCGGTGACCCACCCTAAAACCCAAAACCCCTTTTTGGCTTACAGGGGTTTGCAAGGGAAACCGAACCCATCCTCCTCCCCCACTCCCGTCTACCCACCCCTCCCGTCTACCCACCCCCCGCCTTTTCGAAATGGACACGTTTGTGGTCCACTTGACTCGGCGACCTGACACGGGTTCAACCACAGGGCAACATCGACTGCAGGGCCACTGGGAAATCCTCAATACAAGGAGCTAAGTAACATGACTTATCAACAAATCACTTTAGGGCTTCATAAGGAAGCAAGTACCTAAAAAACACCTGGTTGTTTCGTGAACTTGTGGAGAGGCTTTGTTTTCTTTGTTTTTGGGGGGACGGGTTGGTTACGACCATGTTACTGTATCCATGACCAAAACACCGGTATTTACAGCGTTGTTGCTCCTCTACACAACCTGCTGCACCAGGACGTTTGACGTTTCTGTAACAAGACGCACTGTCACAAGGCTTATGCGAACGGTGTGTCGTCATGACGCTCGAACCACTAACAACTGCCACCAGAAGCAACATAAAGGAAAAAAACGCAAAAAATGCACAAAACTGACCCATGTGTGCATGTCGTAAAACATTGGAAAAAAAACATGGTTTTATGTGCTTGTTTGCCGCCATTGCGCCCTTTCACTAGAACGCCCGAAGTGAAAGGATTGATGTGTACTTCTGTGTCATATATTTCAGATCTTTGTAGGTTCACAAGATAAAGAATGATAAAAGTTCAAAAAAAATCATCGGATTTTGCAGTGTTTCTTGCTGTGGGACGTCCTAACCTAATTCTCGCGTTCCTGAAAAATGTACATGCAGACTGTGCTTGAGCAGCTAAAACCCACGCGAAAACAGTGTCCGAACCTCCAAGTAACCAGGGTTTTTAGGTACCTGTGACCTCCTCCTATAACCCTGTCTAAACCCTCAACCCTGAACCCTAATGCTTGAACCCTAGTCCCTAAACCCTAAACCCCAAACCCTAAACCCGACGCTCCGAGGAGGAAGAATAGGAGCCAGAGTCTCACCCTAGAAACCATCAGTCGTCCATAACTTGGAGCTTCAGGGTTCAGGGTTTAGGTTTAGGGTTTAGGAGCAGCCCAGCGGCACTCCAGGAGACGCGAGATCTCGGTCCGTCTCCGATGCCTCTGCGCCGAGCAGCGATGTCGGAAACACGGTGGGGTTAGGGTTTAGGGTTTAGGGTTTGGGGTTTTTGGAGGGTCTCAAAATGTAAGGACAATACTATATTGGCCAATTGGGGTATACAAGTACAGGCCAACGAAAATGCTAAGTTATAGCTAAGAGAGAATTACCCGGCTTAGTGCCCTTAAAACCCTACTGAAAACTTATAACTTACAACTTATAACTTGTATACTAAACCCTAAACCTTAAACCCTAAGCGCTAAAACCTAAACCCTAAGCCCTAAACCCTAAACCCTAAACCCTAAACCCTAAACCCTAAACCCTAAACCCTAAACCCTAAACCCTAACCCTGAACCCTGAACCCTGAACCCTGAACCCTGAACCCTGAACCCTGAACCCTGAACCCTAAACCCTAAACCCTAAACCCTAAACCCTAAACCCACATGTTGGAAACATCCAAACTATGTTCCGGGGCCCCGGGCAGAGATCTAGAGCTTCAGGTGTTTAGGGTTTAGGGTCTAAAGGGTAAAACCCTCAACCATGAGCTTCCTATCTTGGGGTTCCCAGAGTATACCCTTTGCTCTCTAAGGTTTAGGGTTTAACGGCTAGGGTTTAGGGTTTAGGGTTTAGGGTTTAGGGTTTAGGGTTTAGGGTTTAGGGTTTAGGGTTTAGGGTTTAGGGTTTAGGGTTTAGGGTTTAGGTTAGGGTTTAGGGTTTAGGGTTTAGGGTTTAGGGTTTAGGGTTTAGGGTTTAGGGTTTAGGGTTTAGGGTTTAGGGTTTAGGGTTTAGGGTTTAGGGTTTAGGGTTTAGGGTTTAGGGTTTAGGGTTTAGGGTTTAGGGTTTAAGTTTAGGGTTTAGGGTTTAGGGTTTAGGGTTTAGGGCTAGGGTTTAGGGCTAGGGTTTAGGGCTTAGGGCTTCAGGGCTTCGGGCCTAGGGTTTCGGTTTAGGGTTTAGGCTTGAAGTGAACCCATGGGGGCTCTGGACACCCAAGCCTGACTCTCCAGGGGGTTTTCGGCAGGGTTTGGGGTTTAGGGTTTAGGGTTTAGGGTTTAGGCTTTAGGGTTTAGGGTTCCGACCCTTCAGATTTACAAAGTAGGATGGGACTGAAAAAGCCTCTGTTTCAACCTGCCTGCCTTTGGTCGGGAAGATCTAGAAAGTAGAGCCTCCGTGCGCAAAGTAGTGCCCTGTGCTGCTGCAGGGTTTCTACAAGCACGGGCCCCCAAGTTATAAGTACGGTTATAAGGGCCCTAAAGTGGGTTATGAGGGACATTTTTCGGTTATAACTCCCTTAGCTACAGTTAGTAGACTACGGGGGCCCCGACTTGTAGGAAGCTTCAGGAAGGATGCCTACCCACGCGGGTCCGGTAACTATGTCGAGGCGCGATGTCGTCAGGGTACTCCGCGCTGTCGTGGTTCCTGAAGCTCAGCGCGTTCTAAGCCCTAAACCCTGTGTTCAGGCTCTCAACCCTAAACCCTAAACCCTAAACCCTAAACCCTAAACCCTAAACCCTAAACCCTAAATCTGAAAAGATGAAGCCCCCCTTGGCCATACCTGCCAGGCGCGCAAGACTGTGCTTGAGCGGGGTGGAGGGTTTAGGGCTTAAGGTTCATGGGGGTTTAGGGTTTAGGGTTTAGGGTTTAGGGTTTAGGGTTTAGGGTTTAGGGATTTCACGGCTAAAGGTTTAAGGGTTTGTGGCTTTGCGTTGAATCCCCGCCTCAAAGGCGCACCTGAACCCAAACGGCGGCTTCCAAAAATGGGGGTACCCTTTTTGGGGGTCCCTTTAGGGGGATCTTTTCTATTTGGTCTAAAAGGGGTAGCCCTATTTTGAGGAATACCCAATTTTCTGGACTCTCCGTAATCCTCGCAGCTTCGATTTAGTGCATTGGCCGAGGGTCGAGTAGTGTTTCTCACCCGCATCCTCAATGACGAGCTCGTCGTGACGTGGACCTGCTGTGATTTGCTTTGACTTCGGCAGGGCTAAACCCTAAACCCTAAACCCTAAACCCTAAACCCTAAACCCTAAACCCTAAACCCTAAACCCTAAACCCTAAACCCTAAACCCTAAACCCTAAACCCTAAACCTAACCCTATAAATCTTTAACAGGGTAGTTACACATTACCTTAGTATGGGGTATTACAAGGGAACTTGGGCCCAGACGTCAGAATCCCCTTCAAGGAGGTAAGGGACCATATTAAGGGCCCATGTAAATACCCTTAGATTGTTGCTAGACCCCAGAATTAAGGTGCCCTTTTGGTCTACAGGGGGTGACCCTAAACCCTAAACCCTAAACCCGGAACCCTAAACCCTAAACCCTGAACCCTAGGTCTTACAAGGGAAGCTAAACCCTAACAAAAGGAAATAAGTCCCTTCTCAGGGGCCCCTGCTGCCCTTTGGGTCTCGCAAACTTCCTGGTTTAGGGTTTAGGGTTTAGGGTTTAGGGTTTAGGGTTCAGGGTTAGGGTTTAGGGAACAGTTCTCGTTCTCACCTCGGCCCTCAAGTGTAGCTCTCCCGCGTCTGCGTACCTAGAATTCTGAATTGAGCATCGTAGTCATACAGAACGAAGGTCAATACCAGAGGCTGAGTAGGGTTTAGGGTTTAGGGTTTAGGGTTTAGGGTTTAGGGTTTAGGGTTTAGGGTTTAGGGTTTAGGGTTTAGGGTTTAGGGTTTAGGGTTTAGGGTTTAGGGTTTAGGGTTTAGGAGCTTCCAGGGACTCTACCTTGGACCTACAAGGGCCAATATGGAGTTTCTTCAGGGAATCTTCAGGGGTACAGCCTTAGGGGAAGGAGCCTCATACACCCTAAACCCTAAACCCTAAACCCCAAACACTCAACCCTAAACTCCAAACGGCCAACCATTCAAGCCCCATTTTGCCCATAGCTTCCGCGTGCCTGTGGCTGTTCCCTTGGGGAGGCCCTGGCAACCGGTCGTCCCGAGATCGTAAACCCTAAACCAGGCTCAGCAAGTGCGAGCCGTGGGGAAACCCCCCCTGCTGGTTCGGCGTTCCTGTGCCCTTTGGTACAGCCTCGCACCTTCAGGGCGCCTGAACCCTATAAACCCTACATCCTTGAGGGTTTAGGGCTTAGTGTTTAGGAGAAACCCTACAAGCAGGGGCCCCTTACTCTACTAACTTGAGTTCGCAGGAACTGGTGGGAACTTAGGATTGCCTAGGGTGCAGGAGGTGCAAGGCCCTCGTCCCAAGACCTTTGCATTCCTCCGGGTTTCAATACCGAAAACCCCAAACCCTGAATCCCTGCAATTAGGAGCTGTGTTGCCATAGTAAGTCTACTTAGTATCCCTTAGAAACCGCATAATAACCCCCATAACCCTCCTTGCCCTAGACCCTAAACCCTAATCCCTAAACCCCAAACCCTAAACCTAAACCCTAAACCCTAAACCCTGACCCCGAAACCCTAGACCCTAAACCCGAAACCCTAAACCCCCACTTACTAAGTCAAGTAGGGCACTTCTTTGTAGAGATGTCCCTGAAGGCGCGCGGCAGATAGAGGTGAGACTGACCCGGAATTTGCAGCTTGAAGTTTACGGGTAAAGGGTCTAGGGTTTCGGGTTTAGGGTTGTACCATAGTCTGAGAAGGAACTTATAGGTACTCCCAGGACAGGATCTAACAATGAAAGGGTCCAGGTATGTCATGCTCTAATGGGAACCTTTCGTTCGAGGTCCCCAGTGGAGATCATGCGTGTTCTAGGGTTTGGGTTTTAGGGTTTCTCGGGCTTAGGGTTGTGGCTTGAGTTTCGCGGTTCGTGCTGCCCAACTTTGAGGCGCACACAGCACCTGAATCCGGCCAGCCAGGCATGGAGAGACTCCCGGGGGCGACTTGGAGGGTGCGAATAGGGTTTAGGGTTTAGGGTTCAGGGTTTAGGGTTTAGGGTGTAGGGCTTAGGGTTTAGGGTTTAGTGTTTAGTGTTTAGGGTTTAGGGTTCAGGGTTAGGGTTTAGGGTTTAGGGCGTAGGGTTTGGCGTTTCGGGCTCCTCAGGAGACCCAGGCCCTAAACCCTGAACCCTTCGAACTTTAAGCCTGAGACCTGGGCCCCGAAGCTCCGAGCCCTAGACTCTAAGCCCTAAACCCTAAACCCTAAACCCTGAACCCTAAACCCTAAACCCTAAACCCTAAACCCTGAACCCTAAACCCTAAACCCTAAAACCCTAAACCCTAAACCCCAAACCCCACCCTAAACCCTAAACCCAATCTCAATGCAGACCAGACTTGTGAGACAAGGCCCTGAAGACTGGGTGGTTCTTAGTAGGGAATGAGGGAATGAGGTACCCTATATAATCCCTCAAAAGGGTTTAGGGTTTAGGGTTTAGGGTAATATATATATATATAATTATATATATACATATGTTTTTTTATATAGGGCCCTAATTCCCTCATTCCCTACTAATAACCAGGGAGAGAAGAGGAGCTGAGGCTTGAAGAAGCGGCAACTGCTGGGCTGAGGGGGGTGAACTTTTTCAAATAAGGCCATCTGTCGACAAGGGCCTCCCCTAAACCCTAAACCCCAAACCCCAAAACCTAAACCCTAAACCCTGGTCCCTGCTCCCTAGACCCTAAACTTGCAAGATTTCGAACCCTCTCGGTGGTCAAATGGCGCTGCCTGAATGGTCGTCGGACACATTTCGGTCCGCTTCGCCGATACCCAGCTTCAGTGCTGTCAAGGACTCGACAATGCGTTGACACCTGTAGGGTTTAGGGTTTAGGGTTTAGGGTTTAGGGTTTAGGGTTTAGGGTTTAGGGTTTAGGGTTTAGGCCGTTATAAGGGAACCCAAAGCCTTAAAAAGGGGAACAAGGGCCTACTCTGGGTCCCAGCACACTGCACAGAACCAACCTGACGTCACTCAGCGCCGTATACCGGGGTCAAACTCGAAATCATCACCTGCATCATCACCTCATGACCTTTACATATCGGAAAATAGGAACTGCCCACAACCAACGCCCGCCCGCACGCACGCACACACGCGCGCGCACACACACACACACACACACACACACACACACACACACACACACACACACACACACACACACACACACACACACACACACACACACACACACACACACACACACACACACACACACACACACACACACACACACACACGCACCCACACACGCACCCACACACGCACCCACGCACGCACGCACGCACGCACGCACGCACGCACGCACGCACGCACGCACGCACGCACGCACGCACGCACGCACGCACGCACGCCCGCACGCACGCACGCCCGCACGCACGCACGCACGCACGCACGCACGCACGCACGCACGCACGCACGCACGCACGCACGCACGCACGCACGCACGCACGCACGCACGCACGCACGCACGCACGCACGCACACGCCCGCACGCCCGCACGCCAGCACGCCCGCAAGCCCGCACGCACACGCACGCACACGCACACGCACCGCCGCACGCACACGCACACGCACACGCACACGCGCACGCACACGCGCACGCGCACGCGCACGCGCACGCGCACGCGCACGCGCACGCGCACGCGCACGCGCACGCGCACACGCACACGCACACGCACACGCACACGCACACGCACACACCCACGCACACACACACACACAGACAGACAGACACACCCACTCTTTGCGCACTCTTTGCGCACTCTTTGCGCGCTCTTGGCACACTTGCCGGCGCCGCTTCCCTGTCGGTGCCCAGTGCCCAGGTGCCATCTCCTCGGCGATCGACTCCGTGAAGAGCTGGTTCGGCGGGGAGCGCTCCGGAAAGGGCACTGGCGTGCTGAGGCGCCGCATCCACCTCTATGGAATTTTTTCGCTTTGTTTGTTCTTTTTCTGGGAAAGGGGGGAGTTGTCTTTGGGGTGGTTTAGGGGTTCTCCGTGAGGTTCGCTGTGAGTCCGAGAGAGCCCCGTGTGTTTTCTCTCTCGGGAGGCCCTCCTTGAAGGGGACCAAGGCCATGAAGCAGGAGCGCTCCCCGAGATTCCCCTATTTTCTCTCTCTCTCTCTACCTACCCCTCTCTCTCTCTCTGTCTCTCTCTCTCTCTCCCTCTGCAACTCTCTCTTCCTCTCTTCTCCCGAATTTGGACGCTTGGTCTCTCTTGTCTTGCTCCGAATTTGGACTCGTGGACCAGGCCCGGAAGGAGGGCGACACCAACTTGGACCTCCGCCCCGTCCAGGCTCAGAATGCGCACGTTGACAGCTAATGTTTCATTGCCGAGGGGCAGAGCGTGTCCATTGCGATGTACCAGTTGCCAATTGTTTTGAATGGCGCCTCTTCGATGTGGCTTTTAGCTTTTTCCATGCAAGAGAGACTCTCTCGTCTTGACAGGAGCTTCAAGATTCGGACTCGGCCCAGAGCTCGCGCGTTTTGCTGCATGCTGCGAGTGTTCTTTCAGCGCGCTTTCTCTCCTTTTTGTGTCTCCCTCTTCTCTCTTCGCTTCTCCCTCTTCTGTCTCTGCTCTCTGTCTTCTCCCTCTCTCTCTCTCTCTCTCCCTCTTCACTCTCTCCTCTCTCTTCTCGCTCTTTCTCTCTTTCCTTTTTTGTTGTTGTTTTTTCATGCTTTTGATGATGCCTCCGCACCTGAGCTGCGTGCCACAGAGGCCGTGACGTGCATCTGCTTCGGCCAGGAGAGGTTGCACAAGGCCCGGCTGGCAACAACTCGCTTCTCTTCTCCAACTCGCTTCTCTTCCAGCTCTCGTTTCTCTGCAGCCGCCGTTTTCTTCTTTCTCTCACAGCTCTTCGAAAAAAGACTCCGAGCGGTGGAGGCCTACGTGCTGCTGGCCACGGCCTCCAAGGCCAAATTGTGCAATGCAAGAAGAAGAAGAAGCAGAAGAGAGTAGGACGGAGACGAGTTCCGAGTGAAGAGAAGTAAAGGTATTTAGATCGTCCTCATCTCAGCCTTCTGAGGATGGCACGGTGGTGGTTTACCGCTGCTACCGCACGGAGATGGAGATCGCCGCTTCTCTGAACTGAATAAGATAAGAACAGCAACGCCGAAAGAAGGAAGAGAAGAAGCACACGCCAAGCACAAACCAACACTCGGAATGAGAACGAAGTAACCAAGTAACGAAGTCACGAAGCAACGAAGTAACGACAGAGTTGAGCTAAGCGTTTGTGAGGCCATGCTGTCAGATCAAGACTTCCCTCCCGATGACAACACCTATTCGTCGCCTCCGGCCGCCGCTTGCTTCAACGCTTCAACTTTCAGAACTGGGCGCACTGGGGGCGCACTGGGGGCAGCTTGGGCAGCTTGGGCAGCTTGGGGGCACTCCGCGCAGCTTGCCTCCTCTTTACCAGCACACCGCTCCTCTGTGAGGACCATTCGAACATTGCTGTGCACTCCCGACTGGTAGGCCACTCGCGCGCCGCACTCAGGGGGGGGGGGGGGGCCGGCAAGCAAAAAGCATAAGAAGCGACACACTAACGGAACTCCGAAGAGCTGTGTTGTGGTGGAGCTCAGGTGCCATCACCTCGATCTTCTTCAACCTACTGGAGGATCAGTTGGTGACGACGTCCATTGACAAGCTGGGGGCTAAGGGGCCTGAGGCCCGCAGGGGGGCCCGCAGGAATGTTTGACGCATTCCTGACATCTGCCTGCCGAGTTGTCGTGCATGGCCAGATTGGGACGGGACCGGGCACCCGTGGTGTCGGAATGCCTCGAAATGCCGAATCGTGAAGGATGTGGGTGTGTAATTAGTAATGGTGTGTGGCCGTCGAGCTCTTCTTGTTGACCTCGAAGCCTCTCGTCGTATCGTGAGTCTCTCTGGCCCTGTAGGGTTTAGCAAGTTTAGCAGGGCTGAGCCATAGGTCGCCCCAAGCTTGCAAGCTTTGATCTTTTCCTCGGCATGTCTGCCCAGGTCGGTGCGATTTTGGAGCATCGACAGCGGTGAGATGCTTAAGGTCTTTACCGACAGCTCGCCGAAGCCTCAAGAAGAAAAAGGGTTCTCGCACAAGGACATGAGATCGAAACCTCGGACATCACTGTAATTGACGCAGATTCTCCAAAGGCCTGCTACTGCTTCTGAGGGCGGGGCCAAACGCACACAAAACAACCCAAGCAAATTTCGCACGCCGGAGAAGACGACACGCCGAAAGCATGAGCCGGAGGCTGCTAAGGCGCTGGGCCGCTGGGCCGCAGAGCAGAACTTTTGCTGTGAAGAGGGGACCCGCGGCCCCGACTCCTATCCCCCCCGGCTCCCAGTTCACACGGCTCCAGCACAAAAGTGGATGCACAGGGAAAGCTCTTCAAGGCTGTATCCTCGCCCTCGCGTGCTTTGGCCCAGGCCCGTGCCTGTGGCAGCATTCCTCCCCTTCAACCCGCAGGTGGGAGTCCAGAGAGTCTCTCTAGTGGAACCACGGAGAAGCCCACGGGAGAGTCTGAAGCCGCCGCGGAAGTTGGCCATAGCCGCCATAGCCGCTGGTTTGAGGTCTTTGTGGCTGCCAATTCCAATGCTGTCCTCCGTCTCGTCAACGCCAGCCCCTCAAAGAATCCTCCGTGGAAGCAAAGAGAGCGAGAGAGAGTGAGAGAGAGAGATAGAGGAGGCCTCTTCACTGTGTAGACGAAGAAGAAGAATGGACAGAGAGATGCTTCTGTTTTTTTTTTCTCTCGCCTCTCTCTCTCTTTCTGTCCCCGCAAGTGCGGGGGGTGTTTTTGCTTTTTCTTTGCTTTTCCCATATTGCTGTAGCTATTTGTCCGGGTCGGGGCGGATGCCTTTGCCTTAGTGGCACCCGTGCCAGGTGCAGAACGGGATGGTGCTGCAAAAGTTGAAGGCCGGGTCAGAGTGTCCACAGAGGGGTGTGTGGAACGGCGTGCGTTTGTTGAAAAGCTTCTCCGAACTGCCGCAGAGGTAGAGACCGAAGTCCGCGCACTGAAGTTCGACGACACGGGCCTCTTCCTCTTGGCAGGTCCCGTGCAGCTGTTTGCTTTTGTTTTCCTCGCCGCATTTTGCCGCGCAAGCGCCAGGTACCAAGAGCGGAAGCATCCATGTGCTGGAGGCCGGCCCCTGCTCCAGTGGCCGCTCTCATATTTTTCTCTCAAAGAGCCTCTGCGCCCTGTTCAGACAGGCATCGGATGCCAACACGCTGAGGTTCAAGTTCAAGGCCCCCCCGCCCCCCGTCCCGCGAAAACAAGTGGCCCTGCATGATCCGCATGATCCGCTATTTTCTGGTCCCACGAGGTGAACCTCGCGCGAGGAGGCACGGCAGAAGTGTTGAGCCCTCCAACCCAAACCGCATCCACACTCCTCTCTGAAAGAAATCACACATCTCTACGTCACTCCATGTTTGTATCTATCATGCACATATTATTGCTCATGCATGTTGATCTCCTCTCGCTCTCTCAGACTTGCTCTCTCTCTCTCTATCAATCTCTGTCTTCTGTCTCTCTCCTTCTTCTTTTTGGGAAAGCCAAGGGGTGACCTGCATCACCTTCGTCCCAGCCGCCGGCGGGCAGCCGCCGGGGGCTCGAGCGAGAGCTTCTCTCCGCTGTCGCTGCGGATGTAGGGGGACCACGGCGCGTACTCGGCCGTGGGTTAAAGTCCACTTTTTGGGGTTTATCTGTGGTTTAAGGGGGGGGGGGGGGGGGGGGGGGGGGGGGGGGGGGGGGGGGGGGGGGGGGGGGGGGGGGGGGGGGGGGGGGTGGGGGGGGGGGGGGAGGGGGGATAAGAACGTCATTCATCTTGAAGCCTATGCCCAAAACCCTGGGGCACAAGACACATTGTCGCCAGCGCCCATGCCTTTGATGACCATGCCCATAACACTGGCATTTACAGCGTTTTCATCACTTTGTACAACATACTGCGCAAGGATGTAGAACAAGACATGCTGTCGCAAGCGTCCATGCTTGTTGGCGACCATGCCCAAAACACTGGTATTTACAGCGATTTGCGATTCTGAGTTTAGCGACCTGCTGAAAGAAAACCTTAAGGTTCTTGATCTTTTCACACTCACACATGAGTCATGAAGCACATAACTGTGAATCTTGTGCGAATTCCCAAGTAGTTTTCGCGGGATTTTTAACACATTTTTCGGGTTTTTTACACCTGAAGGACGAATTTATTGTAAAAACCAATATGCCGTGCACTTCCCCTCGATCTGAGCATGTCTCTGAACAGCCACGGCCGTGTACGCGCCGTGGACCATGTAGGTAGAAGCGCCCTTGAGCCTGCCTCTCTCTCGCCCTCTTCCTCCTTTTCTCTTTCCCCTCTCGTTCTCTCTTTTTGAGAGGCCTTGCCTCTTGGTGAACACCTCGGACTGCTCGGCGACCATCATCGACTGCACCTACGGCCCACCCAGCGGGGCCGGGAGCCCCGAAGTGCCCGACGCAGGGAGAGAGAGTGTTTCGTTGAGTGTTCGTGTGGCCGATGATATGCGCCTACTCATCCCCGATTCACCTCTTTCATCCTAATATCTTTTTGGGTTTTTTTTTCGTGTCCTTGCCTTTCTCCCTATCATCTCCTCAGGTCCTCAACAACCTGTCCGTGAGGCATCGGGTCCGGGTGGCGCCGGGGGACCTGAGATGAACTTCGATAGAGGTGGGGGCTGGGGCGAGAGAGTGCCACCTCAGGGCACTCGCAGAGCGGTGCTCTGAGCAGTGAGAGCCCCCGGGAAGAGCAGACACCGAGAGATGGAGAGAGAAAGAAGAGGAAACGAAATGAATAGAGAGAGAAAGAGTGGGGAGCGCAAAGAATAATGCAAAGAAGAAGTGCTTAAAGAATGCGAGAGCAGCGAGAGCAGCGAGTTTTTCTTGCGTGCGAAAGTCGATGGGCCAAGGCACGAGCTCCTGCCGCTGAAGAACTGCTACTCACCGTCGGGCCAAGGCCAAGAAAAAGCAGGAGAAGCAAGCGCACACGCACGCACGCACACACGCACACACGCACAGAGAGAGAGAGAGAGAGAGATATATATATATATATATTTATGGTACCCCCCCCCCATATGCCCACACTTTTTCCTCTCAGGTGCCATGGTAGGGTTTAGAGGCTTAGGATTTCGAAGCCTCCGAGGGCAGCGAGCACGAAAGCGCTCTACTGTACCAATGTTTTAGGCCCAGAAGAGCAAAAACGCTGTACTGTCCCAAAAAAACCAATCTTTTTAAGAAAAAACAAGCAAAAATGCCGTACTGTCCCAAAAAAGCCAAAAAAACCAAAGTTTGGAGACCTCCAGGCCCTGGAGGAGCCCAAGGTCTCCAAACTTTGGTTTTTTTGGTTTTTTTGGGACAGTACAGCATTGTTGCACTTTTTGCCTTAAAAAGATTGTTTTTTTTGGGACAGTACAGCACTTTCGAGGCCTGGGACTGCAAAAACGCTGTACTGTCCCAAAAAAGCCAAGTTTTTTAAGCAAAAACAAGCAAAAATGCCGTACTGTCCCAAAAAAACCAAAGTTTGGAGACCTCCAGGCCCTGGAGGAGCCCAAGGTCTCCAAACTTTGGCTTTTTTTTTGTTTTTTTGGGACAGTACAGCATTTTTGCATTTGTTGCCTTAAAAAGATTGGTTTTTTTTGGGACAGTACAGCACTTTCGAGGCCTGGGACTGCAAAAACAGCATCTTTGCACTTTTTGCCTTAAAAAGATTGTTTTTTTTTGGACAGTACAGCACTTTCGAGGCGGACTGCAAAAACGCTGTACTGTCCCAAAAAAACCAATCCTTTTAAGCAAAAACAAGCAAAAATGCCGTACTGTCCCAAAAAAACCAAAGTTTGGAGACCTCCAGGCCCTGGAGGAGCCCAAGGTCTCCAAACTTTGGTTTTTTGGTTTTTTGGGACAGTACAGCATTGTTGCATTTGTTGCCTGAAAAAGATTGTTTTTTTGGGACAGTACAGCACTTTCGAGGCCTGGGACTGCAAAAACGCTGTACTGTCACAAAAAAAACCAATCTTTTAAGCCGATTCATATTATTTTATACAGGAGTCCTATTGGTTCCTATTCATTTAGCAAGGTTCCTTCTCATTTTAACAGGATTCCTATGAATTATAACCGGTTCTTTTCAATTTGGCAAGGGTTCCTATTCATTTTAATAGGCTTCCTATTAACTTTTATCGGTTCCGAAAAATATTGGCAGGATTCCTATGAAGTCAACAGAGGATTCCTATTTATTTTAAGGGGCTGCGCCCATGGGCGGGCAGCGCACGCAGAAGCCCGGGGCGAGCAGTTTCTAAGCATGTTGAGGCCCCTAAACTCCCTTAAAATCTCTAAGCGTTAAGTTTCTAAGCATTTTCAGGCCCCTAAACTCCCTTCAAATCTCTAAGCGTTTGAGGCTCCTAGACTCCCTTAACGTTTCTAAGCACTTTATAAGGCCCCTAAACTCCCTTTTTCCTAGCCCCGGGCTTAGACACGTCGCTTATGCCCGCCCTTTGGGGGGCATCATGCTCCTGATGCGCCCCCGGGGTCCCGCCCCGGGAGCCGCTGATGCTCCTGATGCGCGCCTGGGGGTCCCGGGCTGGACCCGCTGATGCTCATGATGCGCGCCCTCTGGGGGCCTCCGTGGCGACGCAAAAAACCACGAAAAAAAAACCGTTCACCGGCGGCACGCGGGGGTCGGCGGCACTGGCGTCCGGCCTAATTCTGCTTCGCAGAAGGCCAGAGGCCAGCAAGGCTATTCCCGGGACGACCCGGGCTAAAAGGTCCGCATTTGCTCGGTCCTTTGGGGACCTCGCGCTGCCCGATTTAATGGCTACCGCCAGTGCCGCCGACCCCTCAACCTGATGCTCCGCGCAAACCGGACAAGAACAAGGATGGCAGGCCATCTTTCGACGAATTCGCAGAGGCAGGAGGACGGGCGGGAAAAGCGGAGGGGGCGGGCATGCGCTGGGGCCCTTTTATGGGACCATGGGGCCATGGGGCCATGAGCCATGGCGGGCGGAGCGGGCGGGAAGGGCGGGAAGGGAAGAAGGGCGGGAAGGGCGGAGGAGACGGGCATGGACTGGGGCCCTTTAAAGCTCTTCGATAATCCAGTGCATGCCCGCCCCCTCCGCCCTTCCCGCCCTTCCCGCCCGCTCCGCCCCATGGTCCCATAAAAGGGCTCCAGCGCACGCCCGCCCCCTCCGCCCTTCCCGCTCTTCCCCCGCGATGGCTCATGGCCCCATAGTCGCATGGTCCCATGGCTCCATGCCCCCTGGCCCACTCCTGGCCCCATGCTCCTCTTTTCTATTAGCTGGCTTCGTGCTGACTGTAAAGGGCCCTTCCAGCCCTTCCTGCCCTTCCCGTTCCGCTCTATGGTCCCATGGCTCCATGCTCCCTGATAAGCTGACTTTAAAGCACCCCAGTGCATGCCCACCCCCTCCGCTCTTCCCGCCCTTCCCGCCCTTCCCACCCGCTCCGCCCCACGGTCCCATCAAAGGGCCCCAGTGCATGCTTGCCATAGCCCCATGGTCCCATGGCTCCATGCCCCCTGGCCCACTCCTGGCCGCATGCTCCTCTTTCTTTAGCTGGCTTCGTACCCTTCCCGCCCTTCCCGCCCCGCCATGGCTCATGGCCCCATGGCCTCATGGTCCCGTGGCTTCATGCCTCGTGCTGACTGTAAAGGGCTTCCCCTTCCCGCCCGTTCCGCCCTTCCGCCCGCCATGGCTCATGGCCCCATGACCCTATGGTCCCATGGCTCCATGCTCCCTGGTCCCATGCCCCTCTCTTGATAAGCTGACTTTAAAGGGCCCCAGTGCTTGCCCGCCCCCTCCGCCCTTCCCGCCCTTCCCGCCCGCTCCGTTTCATGGTCCCATAAACTGACTTTAAAGGGCCCCAATCCATGCCTGCCCCCTCCGCCCTTCCCGCCCTTCCCGCCCTTCCCGCCCGCTCCGCCCGCCATGCTCATGGCCCCATGGCCCCATGGTCCCATAAAAGCTCCCTGCCCTGCCAGGGCTCATGGCCCCATGGCCCCATGCCCCATGCCCCATTCAAGGGCCCTTTTGCCATGGCTCATGGCCCCACGGCCCCATGGCTCCATCCCCTTGGCCCCACGCCTTTCTTCGATAAGCTGACTTTAAAGGGCCCCAGTGCAGGCCCGCCCCCTCCTCCGCCCTTCCCGCCCTTCGCCCTTCCCACCCTTCCCGCCCTTCCCGCCCGCTCCGCCCGCCATGGCTCATGGCCCCATGGCCCCATGGTCCCATAAAAGGGCCCCTGGTCGCCATGAGCCATGGCGGGCGGAACGGGCGCGAAGGGCAGGAAGGGCGGGAAGGGCCCTTTACGGACCATGGGGCGGGGCGGGAAGGGCGGGAAGGGCGGGAAGGGCGGGAAGGGCGGGAAGGGCGGGAAGGGTGGAGGGGGCGGGCATGCGCGGAGCCATGGGACCATAGGGCCATGGAGCCATGAGCGATGGGGGAAGAGCCCTTTAAAGTCAGCGCATGGGGCTATGGGGATAGGGCCATGGGACTATAGGGCCATAGCGGGGTGGGCGGGAAGGGCGGGAAGCGGGAAGGGCGGAACCCTTCAAAGTCAGCTTATAGAGTCAGCTTATAGAAGAGAAGGGCATGGGGCGGAGGGGGGCGGGCATGCACTGGGGCCCTTTAAAGTCAGCTTATCGAAGAAAGGCGTGGGGTTAGGGGGATGTAGAAGACAGAGGGGCATGGGTCAGGGGATGGCCCTATGGTCCCATGGCTTCATGCTCGCTGGGCCCCTCTCTTGATACCTCCGCCCTTCCCGCCCTTCCCGCTCAGGGCTCATGGCCCCATAGCCCCATGGTCCCATGGCTCCATGTGTCCTGGCCGCATGCTCCTCTGTTCTTGAGCTGGCTTGTGCCCTTCCCGCCCTTGGCCCCATGGCCTCATGGTTTCGTGGCTTCATGGTTTCTGGCCCCACGCCCCTCTCTTCTATAAGCTGAATGGGCCATGGAGCCATAGCACACAGAAAAGGGGCCAGAGCCATGGACCGTGGGCGGGGCGGGAAGGGCGGGAAGGGCGGGAAGGGCGGAGGAGGGGCGGGCATGCGCTGGGGCCCTTTAAAGTCAGCTTATCGAAGAAAGGCGTGGGGCCAAGGGGATGGAGCCATGGGGCCATGGGGCCATGGGGCCATGAGCCATGGCAAAAGCGCCCTTTAAACTCAGCACAAAGGCAGTTGATATGGGGTCAGGGGGCTAGAGCCCTGGGAGCATGGGGCCATGGGGCCATGAGCCGGGTGGGAAGGGGGAGGGAGCGGGCATGCGCTGGGGCCCTTTTATGGGACCATGGGGCCATGGGGCCATGAGCCATGGTGGGCGGAGCGGGCGGAAGGGCGGGAGGAAGGGCGGGAAGGGCGGGAAGGGCGGGAAGGGCGGGAAGGGCGGAGGGGGCGGGCATGGACTGGGGCTCTGGGCCAGGAAACATGAAGCCACGGGACCATGAGGCCACGGGCCCATGATCCACTGAGCTGGCTCTGTGCTGACTTTAAAGGGCTTTTTTCCATAGCTCATGGCCCCATGGCCCCATGGCCCCATGGCTCCAGGGAAGGGCGGAGGGGGCGGGCATGCATTGGGGCCCTTTAAAGTCAGCTTATCAAGAGAGGCGGAGCATGGAGCCATGGAACCGGCGGAACGGGCGGGAAGGGGAAGGGCCCTTTACAGTCAGCACGAGGCATGAAGCCAGGCCATGGGGCCATGAGCCATGGCGGGGCGGGAAGGGCGGGAAGGGCACGAAGCCAGCTAAAGAAAAGAGGAGCATGGGGCCAGGAGTGGGCCAGGGGGCATGGAGCCAGACCATGGGGCTATGGGGCCATGAGCCATGAGCGGGAAGGGCGGCAAGCATGCACTGGGGCCCTTTTATGGGACCATGGGGCGGAGCGGGCGGGAAGGGGGGAAGAGCGGAGGCATGCACTGGGGCCCTTTACAGTCAGCTTATCAATGGAGTCAGGGAGCATGGAGCCATGGGACCATGGGACCATGGGGCCATGGGGCCATGAGCCATGGCGGGCGGAACGGGTGCGAAGGGCAGGAAGGGCGGGAAGGACCCCTTTACAGTCAGCACGAAGCCAGCTCATAGAAAAGAGGAGCATGGGGCCAGGAGCGGGCCAGGGGGCATGGAGCCATGGGACCATGCGGCTATGGGGCCATGAGCCATCCAATGGAGCCCTTTTATGGGACCGCCCTTTAAAGTCAGCACAAAGCCAGTGGGGGCCCTTTTATGGATGGCCAGTGAGCGGAGGGCCAGGGGCATGGAGTCATGGGACCATGCGGAGCCATGGTGGGCAGAGCGGGCGGGAAGGGTGGAGGGGGCGGGCGTGCGCTGGGGCCCTTTATGGGACCATGAGGCCACGGGCGGAGCGGGCGGGAAGGGCGGGAAGGGCGGGAAGGGCGGGGCACGGAGTGGCCGACTTCGAAAGGATTCCAATAAATCCTAATTCCTTTAGTAAGGCTCCTACTAATGTAATGAAATTCCTATCAAGTTTAATCAGATGCTTATTCATGTTAATGGGATTCGTATTTATGCTCACAATCTGAATGGTAGGTTATTGGCCGGGGTTGAGATTGCAAATTATTGCTTGTTTGGTGCGGTGTGACATATGTCAAAGACTCCGCAGCCAAAATGCCGGGTCAATGTTCTCCCTGGTGTTATGTCATCCCCTCGCCTGCAATGGCTGGTGAATGGCCTCAGTCTGGAGGCTCGCAGCTGCATCGTGGGCTGTGGCATTAACTCCGTCATCGAAACCAATGCTTGGGATTCACCTGAGGAGTTCCTGGAGGCTTGCAGGGGTGAACACACCAGCGAATCGGCTCTTTCTGAGTTACGTGCATTGTGGGATGCTGCTCAGGGCTCGTGTATGGCTGCGGTCAGACAGGCGATTCTGAGATCTTCAGATCCTGTCACATGTAGCCCAGATCCCGTCGCTCCTCAGTCATCTTCTCGTCTTTCGGGCGAAGCACGTTCTGTCAACGGGCCGGCAAAGCGCCGCCGTCTGAGAGCAGCCAAGCTCGATGAGGTTTCATCACACATGAACAGTTTGCAACTTCACGAGAAGACCGCTGTCGAATCTGCCTGTCATGAGTTGTGGCAGCTGTTCTTGGAGTTGGGCGAAAGTGGCAGCCAGTGGAAGGATTACAGCTCCCTATGTGCCAGCGATAAGGACAAGTTTGCGACTATGTTCTTCGACACTTTATGCATGGTCGCTCTCACAACGCTTGGGTCCGCTCTCCGCGTGGTGCGAAGATGGAAGCGGCATTGCCTTGATTCTGGCATTCCTCCATGGTGCCCCTCTGCAGTCCACGTTGCTCTCTGGCTACGGTCGCTGCGGGAGCATGGCCCTACGGCTCCACAAGGGCCTTGAGGGACCTTTTGTCAGGAGGTTCCTAACCTCTCATGAGGTACCTGCCTCTGGTAGCATCCCAAAGAGGATGAGCAGCTGAGGTTCATCCTCGCTGCCAGAGAACACCCCTGGCCGACTTCCTCTCACGGTTTGCACCCTCTGCACCAGAAACCCTGAGGAACTTTTGCCAGGAGGTTCATTCCTCTCATGAGGTACAACCTCTGGTAGCATCCCAAAGAGGATGGTAGCTTAGGAGGAGGTGTTTTCCTCCCCCTGTATTATAGGGCCAAGAGGGCCATCAGATGTGCCGGTACAGAGGCACGGTTTTCACAACCCAAACACCAAGAGGGTGGATTGCATTTGTTCGCTCAACTCGGAAAAAAATACCAATGTACCAATGTACCAATGACCAATGTTCCAATGTTCCAATGTACCAATCATTTCGGCCCATGATTGGTACATAGGATGTTTGTACCAATCATGGGCCCAAATCATTGGTACATTGGTACATTGGTACATTGGGTCATGGGTCGTCCTTTGCACCAGTCATGGGCCCAAATCATTGGTACATTGGTACATTGGTACATTGGTACATTGGTACATTGGTACATTGGTACATTGGGTCCTGGGTCGTCCTTTGCACCAATCATGGGCCCAAATCGTTGGTACATTGGTTCATTGGTTCGTTGCTGCGTTGGCACTGTCAGTAAACCCTAAACCCTCTGCGTATGTATGTAGGGTGTATGCGTTGCATGAAAAGGTAGAACTTCTACCGTCGCCGTGTAGGTATATGATTCTTATCGCATATCCAATAGAGAAAGTGGAGAGGGAAGGACGGTATTCTCAAACCATAAAACTAGGAAGCATTTGATGGCATAAGGTGATGCGAAAAGATCAATTACATGTAAGCCCCAGGGAAGCGAGAACACTGTGAGCAAATACCTCTATTCGTCTAAGATTTGGGCCAAGCCGTATTCGTGTTAAATTTAGTTAAACAATAACGTTGGCTATCAACCCTAGACCCCTGCCAAGGTCACTCGACTTCTACACCAACTTCTTTGGTTTTTGGGGGGGAGTGTTCTGGGTACAGTAGCTATAATAGAACACCAAAGGTGTTTATAAACAGGGTTGGTGATTATAAACAGGTGTTGTGTTAAGTATAGTATACAAGTATATTCAATACTCATTATATCTTTTCTTTTGATCAACACCGCATACGCCCCAGGTCGGTCCCAGGAAATAGTGAAAGGATATTGCTAAGAGTATTCTCGCATCCCCGGAGCTTATAGTCAAAGATTTTTTGCATCACCCGATGCACTGGAATACTTCCTAGTCTTATGGCTCGAGACTTACCATCCTTCCTTCTCCATTATCTGTATTTGATATACAATACATCACCCTATATACATATGATGGGGGTACTTCCTTGTACTTACTTTTCCTGCATTTCCACAGAAGGCAAGCCCTACACTCTCCAAACATAGGCATAGCCCAATGGAAATTAGGGTTGAGGGATTTACGCCTCAAGCCCTCAGAGCCTTAAACCTTTAAGGCTTAAACTTTATAGGCAGGGTTTAAACTTTATAGGGCTAACCCCGTCAGGGCTTCAGAGAGAAACCCTGAAAAACCCTAAGCCTTTACACCCTATTGAAGGTTTACATGCCTAAGCCTGAGGCATCGATTCCTAAGTTTTATATGCATTCAAACCGAAAGTCTGGGCATTTATGCCTTCAGCGCCTATAGCGTGAAAACCTTTGAACCGTTTAGAGCCCTATAGGGTTTTAGGGTTCTGACCCTAAAAGGGTTTAAGGTTCAAATGCCTAAAGCTTAAACCCTCAAGGTTCAAACTCCTTTAAACTCTCAAATCTTCACGCCTAGACCTTCAAACCTTAACCCTATAGGGTTTAAAGGTGAAGGGTGATGTGGTTCTTTGCATTTCCATGGGAGGCAAGCCCTACATATACAAACATAGGCATAACCCTATAAGAATTAGGGTTTAGGGATTTAAGCCTCCAGCCCTCTAAGCCTTAAACCTTTAAGGTTTAAACTCTCTAGGCAGGGTTTAAACCCTATAGGGCTAACCCCGTTAGGGCTTTAGAGGTAAACCCTGAAGAGCCCTAAGCCTTTAAACCCTATAGGTTTACATGCCTAAACCTGAGGCAAAGATTCCTAAACTTTATATGCGTTTAAGCCCAAAGTCATTAATACCTTCAGCACCTATAGGGTTAAGACTTTGAACCGTTTAGAGCCCTATAGGGTTTTGGGGTTCTGACCCTAAAAGGGTTGGAGGCTTGAATGCCTAAACCTTAAACCCTTAAGGTTGAAAATTCTAATTATGCGCTTAAGTTTAAACTCCTAAATCTTAACGCCTAAACCTTTAAACCTGAACCCTATGGGGTTTAAAGGCTAAGGGTTTAGGTTTATTTGTCGGATTAAGTTTAAATGCCTAAATATTCAACCCCAAACCATTAAACCTTAAACCCTATAGGGTGCAAAGTTTAAGGGTTTACGTCTAATTGACGGCTTAGGCTTGAATGCCTAAATCTTAAAGCCCGAGCCTTCAAAATGTATACATCTTGGAATGGGGTCTGACCCGACGTCTTAATCGAATAGTTATAAATGAGTCTTATCCTGAAAAAAGGTAACTCTTTCGGCGGACCCTTTGGGAAACATTGAGATGAAAACCCACATACTTGCGAGCAAGTCGGGCTTTTGGAAGGCCCAGAACCCGGATCATAGTGAAAGGATATTTGCTCACAGTACTCTTCCTTCCCCGGGGCCTACATGCAATAGATGTATTCGCATCACCCTATGCCCTCAAATACTTCCCAGTCTTATGGGCGTTTCCGGGTGGTAGGGTTTCTAGATGTTTGCTGTGACTGCGTTTATGAGCAGTGGCTGTGTTTATAAACATGGCTGTGTTTATAAACAGTAGCTGTGTCTATGGACATGGCTGTGCTATAAATTTAGGCTACACGGAAAGACTGGCTACTACTGTATGAAGACATTGAAAGAGTGGAGGGGGGAATAGGCGGCAGCCCATATATATATATATATATATATACGTATATATTTATCAATAAACATGCGCGATGTCAAGCAGGTCTCTAGAAACACGAGAGCTCCATAGAGGCGAGCTACTTAGGGCGAACGAAAGACATGTGGGGTGTCTCGCAACGCGTGCCCGGTGCAGTTTCTCTGATTCGGCTTGAGAGAGCTGTTTCAGAGTTCTAAAGTGCTCGCGCATTCGCTCATGCCGCATGGTGCCGTGGCCAGGCTACCTGATATCAGGTTCTGAGAACAAAGACGTGCGACGCTGAGGGGGCCTTGAGGTGGTCTAAGGAGGGATACGTCAGGCTTGTGAGGGCTTATAGCTGATGGTAGCTGCTTAGCTGGCAGGCAGCCGGATTGTGGCAGACCAAGGTCCATATCTACCCCCTGGGAAAAGGCTCCAACTACAAGATGCAGCCGCTGAAGCACCACCAGGCTCAGCGCGGCGCGCAGTCCGGGGAGCAGTTTTAGCTGCCCACTTGTGCTCTGACGGTTCTCTGACAGTCCTGCTTCTGTGGCAGGTGCCGGTGGTGGCGGTCTCTGTGAACATGCAGGATGAAGTGGGTCAAGTCTGAGAAAGCTCGTGTACTCGGGAGTACTCGGGAGTACTCGGGAGTACTCGGGAGTACTCGGGAGTACTCGGGAGTACCCGCAATGCCGGCAATGCCGGCAATGTGTAAAGAGCAGACGCCCCAGGACACACTCTTGGCCAGCGCCGACTCGCTCCAGCCTTATAGCGCATGGTTTCTCTCGAAGAAGCTTGGGAGAAGTGAAGCAGATTGAAGCAGATTGAAGCAGATTGAAGGAGATTGAAGCAGATTGAAGCAGATTGAAGCAGATTGAAGCAGTTAAGCATAGTTACGCATAAATATCAGCTGCCTCTTTGACACTGGCTTGCCTTAAAGCTTGCCTTATAAAGAGCACTCCTCGCTGCTGGAGGCTGGGCCGCATCGTGCTCTGGCGGCGCATGGACTTCTCGCACATACCCGACTGAGAGAGAGACAGATCGGAAAAGCAACTAAAAGCAGCCACATGCTAAAAGCATCTAAGTGCAAACAAAAGTCTCCTCTCGCCCTTGCGAGTTGTTGTACGAGTTGGTTTTAGTTGGTGACAAAAAGTTGGTGACCAAGTGCGTGACAAATTTGCAAGAGAAGTTGCTTCACTCTGCGCAGCTGAACCCCTTGGCGCTTGGAGCACAGGCGTAGGGGGCAAACAGGCGAGAGGAAGCTGGCCATCAGCTGGCCATCGATATGTGTTGCAGTGCACGCCCCAGCCCGGACACCGCAGCCTCATCGTACATGTTCTCTTTGTTGCTGTCTGTTCTCTTGCCTGCTGGGCCAGCTTTCGCGTTTCTTAGCTCCGAGCTCTGCGAGCTCTGCTCCGAGCGTGAGCGAACGCTGAGAGCCTGCTCTGACAGTGACAGCCCGGCTGTGACAGCCCAGCAGAGGGCTCGAGGGCCTTCGATCAGAAGGCGGGTTTCCGAAACGTCACAGCTCCTGGACCTGCTAGGACCAGAGACGTTGTGTTCAGTGTGGGAGAAAATTGGTGCTGCAGTGGAGCTGTTGTGTGGATGTTGGGTGGCACTGGACGCTCTGCCCAGCCAGGCTTTGCCGCAGCTCCTCTGAGCCGCTTCTTCATTACACTGCATGAGAGTTCTGAGAGCGCCTGAAAGCGCCTGAGAGCGCCTCTATTCTACCGGGATTCTACCGTTTCACTTTAAGTGTCTCGGCCCAGAACACGACTCCCAGACTTCGCGAGTCTCCACATGATGCTTTCGAGGGCCCTCTCTAACTCCCATGCCTTTTGCAGCTTGACTTCGTACCTGCTTCGTACCTGAGAAACAGGTGAAACAGGATATCTCTCTTTGGCGAAGCTGGGATGTGCTTTGGGCCGAGAGCCGATACCACACCAAGCGCAGATTGGTTTCTGAGCTGTGTACAATCCAGGGTAGCCGCGGGTAGCCAGTGTAGCAACCACGTTCATCGTGCAGATGGCATTTCACATGGATTGTCCGCAACTAGCCTTGCTGGTTTTTCTATGTTGGCTTCCCATGAGTGAATGTTTCCGGGTTTCCGCCAGGACCGTGCTGAGCACGCACCCAGGCAGAGTTGACATGCAAGATTGACATGCAAGATGAAAGGCTGTTACGCTTGTGGACTTTCGCATGCTTCGTCCAGCGATGCTCGTGTTATTCATGATCTTCTTGGTGCCAACTATTGAGTTTGCTGCCAATCATTCAAGCACTCGGAGCGTACCGGCCACGCATCAAGACTGCCAAGCTTGGCTGGCGCCACGGTGTGTAAAGCCGCAAAGCTCGATCTCTCAGAAGGTTTCCATAAGCTTCGTAGCTTACCTGAGGCTCTGAGAGCGGCACCCTCGGATGCCGCTCTTCGAGCTGGCGGCAGCGTCATTGCTGGTGGCCGGGGCCAAGTGGGGGGCGGACAGTTCGGACGAGCCAGCGGAGGCGGAGTTTTGCTGACCATCATGGCGTGCTGGCGTGCCTCGTGTTTGCATACCTTTTGCCTCGTGTTTGCTTCCATACCACCATTGCAAGCGCTTGTGCTCGCCGCCTTAGCAGCTACACGTCGGCAGTCCAAGTGGCCTCCGAGTTTCCAACGCGCACTTTTCGTTGCAGATACGGACAGTGACCGCGGGTCGAGGAGAACACAAAAGATGGCAGGGAGCAACCGACCCATAAACCCGAGACCTTGAATCCGCAGCAAGTGAGCGGGACGTCTAGGTTTCCGGGGACCTTGGAAGCTCTGCTTTCCTGAGTTAGCAGTACCGGCTTCCTGTATCAGCAGGGGAGGTGCAGAACCTTCCGTGTGCCTGTTGCCATCTGAAATTTTGTAGAGTGGTGGGAGCTGGCAAGGAGTCAAAAAAGGCAGCGAATCGAGAGGCTTCTCTAACCTTCTCCCACTCAATACCGTGCACGACAGGAGTTGGGGGTCCAGCGTGGCTCGGATTGGCTAGGATTGACTAGGAGCTGCCGAAAAAATCAATAGGAACTGGGGGTTGTCACGCGAGGCGCGAGATACGCGAAAGGCCTGGACCATGTTGGACCATCTTGGACCATTCCCTGCCAAAGTACCTGCTTCTTCAACGTACTGGTAGGCTCGTGCGACGACAGCCTCGACATCTATGCAGAACTCCCAGCCAAGGCATGACCCTTCAGGCAGGGGACCACGGTGACCGCAATGGTTTTGTTCACAGCATCCTCGCATCTCCAATTTGTAAATGGAGATGTGGCTAAGCAACCCCCAGTGAGATTGCAGCTGGGTGTTTGCCCCTGCACGCGAGCGACGGCAGCGGAAGCTGTGCAAATGGCACGTGCAAGCTGGCTCCAATCTCCGAATCGCTTGCTGGTTTCGGCCAGTTATCACAAGGTTTGCGTGCAAGGCCACGATGGAAAGGTTACCCGGTACCCGCCCCCTTGCCCATTGAGGGAGGCACTGGAATGAGTTGGGCAGAAGGGCATACGGGGCACATTGGCCTATGCGACAGGTGCGCAAGAGAGGCAGCGGGAAGTTGCTCTTCCGACCCAAGCTGTGCGAGATGCTGTGGACGGCACGGCCGAGGCCTGCAGCTGCTAGCTTCGAGAAAACGTCTGCCGAAGTCCTCAACAATGTTGGGGTTGCACGATCGGAGCACCTCTCAGGACGAATGGGTGATGCTTGAAACGCTCGAGGCTGATGCGAAGGCCTCCCCCTAACTCTGTTGGGCTAGAACCACACATCTGGCGCAACCGTTTGTGCCAACCTCTTGTCGCCAACCTGTGTCGCGCTCTCGAACTTTTGTTCAGAGGGCTCTGATGAGAGATGGGCCCCAGCCTTGGAGACATAATAGGAGAGAGAGAGGGTCAGCAGAGCACAGAGAGATCAGGCTTTCTTCTTTGCTCTGCTGAGGAGCTGCTTCACCGGCTGGGCACGTGCGCTGGGCCCCTCACCTCAGGCAGAGAGGTGAGAGCCCTCTCGATCTTCAGTTCGGAGATGCACAGATGCACAGAGGGCGGATCTTCTTTTTCTGCTTCTCAAAAGTGAGCGTTGCTCTCCTCTTTTTCTGTGAGATTGATTGATGTGGCCCCCTCGGTTTACTCGTGGTCCCATTTGTGCCTTGTGTGGCACCAAGGCCACTTGCAGCGCCCCAGAGTGCATGACAGAGACGACGAGGATCTCGGTTTGCTAGGCCTTCGTTAAGCTTTCTTTCATTCTACAGATGCGTTGTGATGCCGAGTAGACATATCGCCCAGCCCATGTGAAGGAACTGCGGGGACAGTGCGTGGGCCTTGTCAGGGGGTTTCGAGGTGTTTTGAAGTACAGACAGGCAAGGACAACTGATAAAGGTTGACAGGGGGCGGCCAAAAGACATGTCGCCTTATCCTGCGCCTGATGTGGCCGATAGCGTGCTTCTCGCTCTTGCATGTAATTCGATTTTTTCGGCTTTTCGAAGTATGCCCGCAGTATGCCCTCAAAGTATGCCCTCAAAGTATGCTAGACCTATGCTAGAATGTGAGAGGCGAGGACTTCGAAAGGGTGATCTGTACATCGCACCGTCGAAGCACAGCACAGGACTCCGGAAGCTGGCACAAAAAGCGGGGCCGCTTCGGGGTTCTCAAAATTGAGCGGAGAGCTCCTGGGCTTTTGTACCCGGGAGACAACTGATGCGCACTCTGCCTTCACCACAAAAAAATGGACCGACCCTTTGCGTGGTCTTTCTTTGATTGCATTATACTCTTCCGTCGCCTTTGTCGGCGTGTCTGACGCAGGATGTTCCAATGCTAGAAATATGAGTCGCGGAGTCTTGCGCAGATTTGAGGGCCCAAAGAGCAAAGCAGAGAGCCAACGCAGAGGGTTGCCTCTGGGGAGGGTTGAACTCTTCTGTGGCTCCTGGAAGGATGCGCCATGCCGGCTTGTCGAGATGAGGCGCAGACACCCGAGAACGAAGAGGCCGCGGCGTCGGTGGCCCAAGCAGAGCTTTTGCAAAGAGAGAAAGGTATAGAGGGAGAGAAAGAGAGAGGAAAGCTGTTTTCCTTAAGTATTGTCGCCGTCGCGGTTCTCTCAAGGTTCTCTCCCCTATCCCCTATCCCCTCTCCCCACTCCCCCTCTCCCCCTCTCCCCCTCTCCCC